GACAGTTATTCTGAATCACCCTGTAACTGTTAAATTTCACACGTAATCAGGCAAGCTTGAAACATCACCAACATAACGCAAAAATCCGATCAACCATCAGCCAAGACGATTCGGCCAAACGGCATTCGGCCAAATGCCTTTCGGAGAAATGGCCAAATGGAGTGTGCCAACACAGCTGTTTCCAAGTTATTAAGTAAAAAAGCTGCACGAGAAATATCCTGATACACAGTCCACTCTCCACAACTCGAAGACTACTAACTCGATATCGAGTTATAGAACCTTAGTATAAATGAATTTCATGGCTAGTGATTTTCTATGGGATTATTGTTCTATAAAACGATATTTCTATTACTCGATGGTCCCCTGAATACCGAGTTGTAGAGAGCTCCCTGTACATGGATTTTCTTTTTCAAATTGAAAGAACTCACCAAATTAATCCATTAAACGGTGTCCAATGGTGCGGATACATATACAGTGAACTCTCTACAACTCGATATTGAAGGGACCATCGAGTTATAGAATTATCGAGTTATAGAATAACAATCCCATACAAAATTGCTATCACAGTAGCCATGAAATTCATTTTTACTATGGTTTTATAACTCGATATCGAGCTAGTGGACATCGAGTTGCGGAGAGTTGACTGTACTTTGAATCCAGCTTTGCATCCTTTTCCGAAGTGATTCATGTTTGGGGCACATTTGCTGTTGTAAACAGTTACTTAAATCGTATAAAAGAGGTACCATCCATTTTTGCAATGCCAGTTATTAGATTCTGATATCTGTGATAAGAAATATACAAAAAAAAAACAAAAACAACATTCCTGGGCTTGTTTGCAAATCGGGGTCCATAATTCACCCATAATTCACCCAAAATATGTTAACATATGCATTGGTTAACATATGTGTCCTTAGCGTATTAAGAACTTTTCCTCGAAACAAATTTCAACTGCTTTAGTCGTTTATCAAAACATAGAACCCTCATCTCGAGGCAAATTGTTTGAAGTATGTTTAAAATGATATAAACTCAGTTTTATCTTATGATGCAGTTCTCATGGATCAGTAATACCTTAAATTTGATTATTCTAGGAATAACACTCATGACCCAAGAAACATTTCTGGTTTTATGAGGGTTCTATAGAATGCTATAAAAATTCGATAAAACTTGAAATGTTGCTTAGGCAGTTCCTAGTCAGGAATGATATGGTTTATGAAACCAATCATCTTTTCAGGATTGAGCTTTAAACAACCAAATAAATTTTAATCTGCGCCTCACGCTATGTCTGAAGGCACTTTTTTGCAACATTCATGAACCTCAGATTTTTCTTCACTGGATGTTAGTGTTTATCCTAAAAATCAAATCTGTGATGGTTTTAAAATAATTAATCTTGGGTTTTTTTAGAAATCGTGTTTTGAAGTTTATAAAGCCGATTATGAAGGCGTATATGGACAATTTACCATACAAAACTATTACGAATCAAACACGCAGTTAAATAAGGTTTAAAAGTTGATTGAATTAATCCAAATGGCATTAAAAAAGTTCTCGTTGTAAGTAAGATCCATATTGATTATGTCGACTTTGCGCAAAATCAATTAATAGTTGTTGGTAGCACAACATCTTATTTAGTTTCTCTTCCCTCATAAGAGTAAAAAAGAAAGAAATGAGCAGAACAGTTCGTGACAGCCATGTAATCATAGTAGGCATTGATTGGTGTCCTGTTTTGAGTGTTTTTTTATAGATAAATCGTGTAGAAAATCTGGAAAAATTAAAAAAAATCTTATGAAGAAAATAGAGAGTTCAGTTGTGCTTCAAAAAAGCAACTCTGAAAAAAAATAATGCCACTTTAGTAGCGATTTTTACCAGTTCAATAAAGGAGATAGTAGGTATCCGAAAGTTTTGTATCCCCTACTCAACAGGTGGCGAAGGTGAAATTTGCCACCAAAACATCCTGAGGGATGGAAATTTTGCTTGAATTTTTAAAAATAAATTGAGATGTTTGACTCAACGGCGAGATCGAAAATAAATTCTGGCAACCATAACGAATTTGTTTGAAAATCTTTTATACGATAATGTCAATAATACAGAAATGAAACTCACATGAGATCAACTACTCTTGCCTAGTGAGTTTAGGTAGCTCTCACCTTGAATTACTACAAAATTGCTAGAGCTTCATTGCAGTTCCCATATTTTGTTTATGGAAACATTTTGGAAGTTTCAGCAACTTTCTAGGAAATTCTGCAAACTATATGGAACTGTAATGAATTTTAGGAAAGTTTTGCAAACTTTAAATAAGTTTCTCCAAAGAAGCAGAGAAATTCAGCAAATTTCAGAGCAGTTCATTGAACTTCAGGGAAGTTCTACAAACTTCAGAGGAGTTCTACAAACTTCAGGAAAATTCGACAAACTTGAAAGATGTGCTTCGAGCATCAGAGGTTCAGTTCTATAAACTTCAGGAAATTCTGCCCACTACAAGGACGGTTTGTGAGCTTCAGGGGAGTTCAATGTCATCCTGGATAGTTTTACGAACTTCAAGAGAGTTCTGTGAACTATAGCAACATTATATGAATTAAATGATGCTCTGCAAAAGTTCTTTAAACGTAAGGAAGTTTTTGCAAACTTTACGATGGTCTGTGCACCACAGGGAAAATTTAATAACGTTTGGAACGTACTGTGAACTATAAGAAATATCTGATAATTTCAGGGAAAAGCAATGCCAACGAAATTATGGAAAAACTTATGAACAGGGATTTGAATTTGAAATGTAAATTCTATAAGAGGTAACATCGGGTCGTTGGTGGAACAACTCCACCTCCATGTGTTAGAAAAAAGGTATAAAAGAGAGAATTTTTTGCGATACATCTTCCTCTTTTACGCTTCCCTTGTAAAATGTGATCGAAGGCATGTTTTTCAATACAAAACGATTTTTTATATCTTTTCATTTTTCTTTAAAAGTGTTTCTTATTACCTTTCATTTGATATTTTTATTTTTGAAATCGGCCTAGTCGTTCAAAAGTTTTGAAAAAAGTCATTTAAATAAAAAATAAAGAAAGATTTTTTGGACCACCCTAACGTTGAAATGGTCACCCTAATGCCAAAATAAAATTTGCACTAAGGAACAAATTACCTTTTTTTACCATATTCTGAGAAACACTATAATGTTTTGCTATGGAATGGCTGAATTTTAGTAAATTTAGAGACTAAACCATTGTTTAATTATGTTTTCAATTAAAACATTATGAGATCATGGCAAAGCTACGATATTGTATGGTACCGAAGAGGGAATCTTACTGTATCATTGAAACTTAGTATTTTGACTACTTTAATCCTTTTTTTTTAATCATTTTCAGCTGAATTTGTTTCGATCCGTAACAATTTTGTATACGCCTTTGTAAACGGCTAAGTATACTTCAAAACACTTTTTCTCAAAGAACCCAAGATGAATATTTTAAAACCTTCACAGATTCGATTGCTAGGATCAATACTAACTTTCTGTGAAGAAAAAACTAAGGTACATGAAAGTAACAAAAAAAGTGCCTTCAGACATAGCGTGCGCCTATGCACTACAACTGCAAAGTAGATGCTCCGAGGTTTCATTTTCCATATTACAGAAGCATTAGATATCATTCAAAATTCTTCAAAAGATATCTGCTAGGCCAGTATCTTTTGTTAAGCTCTAAAAGCTTTTTATTATTAGCATTTGGGATAATAAATCTGTTTGACTGGTTATACTTTCTGACAGCCAACCAATTGGTCATCTTTTTGTTCATCCCAGCATTGATTTTTTTTTATTATATAGTTTGATGTATCGCAGAATGGTTCTGGGCCAATTAGCTGTTAATTAGAACCTAATTTCGCAAGATCGTCTGCCCCTTTTATTCCCTTCAATGCCACAGTGTCCTGGAACTTAATACATATTCACTTAGTTTGTTTGACACAATTGCCACAATGAAAGTATTCACTCCCAGACAATTTTTGATGTACATTTGTTAGCACAAAATGCTTTCAACGCTGCTTGACTATCAAAGAAAATACAAATATTTGCATTTCTTTTCACGCAAACACTGACGCATTCTAGATTTGCAAAAACTCTCTTCCTGAAAAACTGTTATCCAAAATCTTTGGAAAAAGATTCCTGCACCAGGTTTTGTTAACTTGATTAAAAGTTAAAATTTTAACATATGTTCTAAAACAAATTTAGTACGCTTGTAGGGGATATGTTTACTAATCTTTTGTTCGGATATCTGAACACATCCAATCTTTTATAACTACCGTCGACCCACGTTAATCTGAACGACACTTCATGCATATTAACGGGGTTCATTTTCAATTTGAACTTCTAGTAACCCTTTGACCATAAGAAAATGCGAATTTCTGGTAAATTTATTTGCTGTTATGTTTAGATTCTGCGTTCCGTTTCGGATCGTTTCATTTCACTTTACTCCATTCCATGTGGTAAATGACGTTTGAGCAATTTTTAGTGTGCAGATCAAAAGTGTCCCGATTAAAAACGGTCAGATTACCGGGGGTCCCCGGTATTCATAACAAGTTTTGTTCTACATTCAAATAAATAATTATACAATTATAATCGCTGAAAAAAGTAAAATAATCAGATCACACGTTTCGTTGCATGAAAAACTATTACTCAACAACAACAAAATACGGAAAACCCAAATTGACTATTACAAAACTTATAACATGCAGCTATCACTTATCTGAGTCACCATTCAAAACTTCAAACTCAATCAAAATTTCCAACTCAATTGAAACGTCAGCAATAATATATATATATGTGTGTGCAAACCAAGTGAATGAGCAAAAAAACAAGACATTAGAGCCAATAAAACGGCTTTCAGGAGAAATCCCAACTGCTCAATAAACCGTCTTGAACAACGACGAAAGGATGGCGCGGGTATGGGTATAATCACGATAAGATAATGCGCAGCACAACGCTAAAAAAAACAGGCTCACACATCGAAAGATAAGACATTTTCTCCACTTACCTCATCCATCGCGAAGTCGTAGCATTCGGCGATCTTCTGGTACAGCTCCTTGACGCTGGCAAATCCGGTGATGAACCCGGTCGGACTGCCGTGGGCCAGCTGGCAGTTGAACACGAGCTGCGGCTTGGTCACGTTGCTCTCGTGGCTGCCGTTCAGATCGTCGATGTGGGGCGCCGTGGGCATCGTGCTGCCTGCCAGATTCTTGCCGTTGCTGTTGTAGCTATTGTTGTTCTCGTAGAAATGGTGCTGGTGACTGCTAAGTTGATGGGGGTCTTTCGTCATGGGAGGGGATGGGTTGGAGATTTTTGCACTCTTCTTGTTGAACAAAGGCATTTGGGTTCGGATGGGTCGCACACGCGCCTTCGACGATCGGGAAACAAGAAATCGGCGAATCCGAGAAAGAGGATCCGGAGAGGAATCGGTAAAAATTTCAAATTAATCCAAAGAAATCTCTATTTGGTTTGGTCTTCTTCCAGATGATGGCCTATGTCAGTACCCCACACACAGAAGCACACACTACGGATTGGATGATGATTTTTTTTCGGGTGGGTTTATTCTCCTTTGCTTTACTTTTCCTCCGATGGAAAACGGTAAAAATTAATGCACTCGCACTCGATCCGAAAATTTCAACCAGATAACGATACCGAACACCTCATCGTTTACTTGGCAAGCTCACTCTACAACCGAGTTGGCCTCTCCTTGGATCGAAGGCCTTCTTCTTCCAGAACAACGGTGGAAACGAGCTGATAACTGCGAGCTTGTATTTTTATCTTTCACCAACACACTCCACACACGCTGATAACAGAACCCCGTATAAACACACCATCAACTAAGAGAGTCGTGTATCAAAATAGTGTGACTTACTGAAAATCTATTTACACTTGAATTTGATAAGAGAGAATCGAAACAATACGGAAATCAAACAATTTAGAAAACAAACGTCACATCTTCTGTACAAGATCTAGATCGAAACACCCATCACCAATTCACGGCACACTCGGATATTGATATCTCACTAAAAAAAAAAGAAAGTTACAATCACTGCACAATGTGCTGCGGCAGGTTTGCATTCGAAATAAAAAATTAGGGTCACACACAATGTACAGCACGCATATTTTACCAAATCCTGAAGAAGAAAAAAAACTCCGCGTGCAACCTATGACTTTGTAGAGATATTACGAGGCAGATAAAATCAATTACAATTTCAATTCCCCGAACAACGGGAACACACTGCGCGCTATTGGCCACCCCACTCACGCCTTCCAGCTCCTTCTGCTGGCTGGTAGGTTGCTAGGTAGGAACGTATGCACACACACGGTGAATCGAGGGAAGTGAGAAAGTTCAATGAATTCCGCACTGACTGGATGCTCCACAAGTTGGTCACTGGCTGCTGCTGCTGTTGAACCACCGATCCGCGCTTACAGATCTTGGACTTGAACTCCAAGCAATAATAAAGAAAAACACACCGAAATGAGAATACACGAGAGCGAGTTCGAGAGCTCTTTCTCCGACTAAACCGCGGCGACGACGACGACGACGACCACGGAGAGCTCTCCACCACACAAACGAACGAGGCGAGAAAGTTTTCCGAGAAGAAAACTGCTGAAACTTGAAATTGTATATGGTATAGGTAGACTCCAAAAGCCACTTCTGAGCAGCTCGGTGCTTGGGACCGTTATGTTTGCTACTAAAAAGCTGGAAAAAATAAGCGCTTGTCGCTCGCTTATTACAAACTTGTGGGCTCGCTCTCACTCTCGCAGATCACCTCAACTTTTGTTCTCTTTTATTCTCCTTTCCGTTCACTCTTATTATCTCTTTTCTAGTGTTCCCACCCATTCGCTTCGCGAAGTAGCCGCGCACTTTCCACCATGCGTTCTCTCACTTTCTAGATCTACCTACTGTGTCTACTTGGTTTGCTGGCTGTGACTGATTTATAGTGCGAGCATAAATGTGATTGACGATCGAGAGAGAACAATATAGGTAGTAGGGTGGTTCGAAATTTCGGATTTGCTCCACCAAGCTCAATCGATTCTTAATCAGGTCCTGATCATTCTCCCAAAATTTGAGTGTGTTTCGATGCGAACACATACTCTACTGACCCTTTGTAGTTTATAGGTATGGGAATTACACTCTAAATTTATTGTCGTGTGGCTTCTGGAACCGACGAATCACCCAACACGCTCTGCGACACACAATCCATCTTACTTGTCCAGTCTCGCTGATCAGAATCAGCATTCCGTTCCGTTCTCCCCTCACAGTGTATCTCTGAGGATCAAACCGAGATTCTGCTTTCGCACGAGTTTATTATTTTCTAGTTTCTTAGATTTTATCTTGGATTCCCGGTCTCTGGTGCCCAGAAGTTCGTCATCAAATGTTACCTTCCCGCGACGTAATAGAGGAAGTCCTCGTCTTATCTTTCGTCCCATCAAAACTTCTTCTGGTTCTTTCATAACAAAATGAGCAGCTGCGTTGTACGCTTGAACCGCAACGTTTAGTTTTTCTACATAATCCGTTCCCCTTGAAGCTGCAGCTGTTATCGTTTTGTTGATTAGCTTTATACAACATTCGGCTAATCCATTCTGTTGGCGGCGCAATGCAGTGGAAAAGATAACGTTTATGCCACGCTCAGTACAATATTGCTTATAAACTTCGCCATTGAAGGGAGGACCATAGGTGTGTAGAAGTATCGTATCAAGATCAACAATTCAAAAGGCCTCAACTCCATTTTGTAAACAAACCTTGTAAGGCCATTTTCTCGCGAACCGAAGTCCGCCAACTCAAACCAACAAAACGAACAGGGGAAATTCTCCTCTACCCGATTGTGTTTAAGGTTTTCGAATGTAGGTTTCGGTTCGCGAGAAAATGACCTTCCAAGGTTTGTTTACAAAATGAAGTTGAGGCCTTTTCAGTTGTTGGTCTTGGTATCGTCAAATCGTCAAATATTTTGAAAAAGTTTAGGGAATTTTGTAGAAGATCTATAGTTCCATAAACTTCTAACAACTTCAGGGATCCTCACTCCAGTTTAGGGAACTTCGTTGCAGTTTGTCAGAGATCTTACTTCAAGAAAGCTCCATGAACTTCTTGGAGGTTATGGGAACCTCGTTAAATCTCAAGTAACTTTCCAGGTGCTCAAGAATATTTGTATATAATAGGTGTCTTTCCAAAACATCTTCGTAGAATTACGAGAGATGCAAAGAAAATATGGAGTTTGGAATAAATTCAGGGTACTTCGTAGAAGTTGAGGAAATTTTGTAAAACTTAAGGGAGTTTTGTAGATGATTAGGAAACGTTGTATAAGTCACAGGATATTCTTCGAGATATCCTTCCTAGAAAGCAGGAAATATTCAAAAGATCTGCATAAAGACGAAGATATTAGTAAAGTTCTCTTGATATTTTTCTAAGACTTCAAGTTGATCAAGTTCGGAGGTTCTCCAACTGTTTAAATATTATTTCAAGACTGTAAATTGCTCAGAAAGTATTCAAAAGTTTTCCAGCTAATTGAATCTAATGCTAAAGACATTCAAAATCTGGTATCTTAAAAACCTGATAAAACAATGATCCGGCAGACCCCGACATTATCCAGGACTTGACGACTTCTCTACATCAAGGAGAGGCACTCGTTTTTTCTACAAAACTGACACACTCCATAGAGGAAGAAAATAACGAAGATCACGACACTTTGCAGAACGAAACAAATTCGGAACATGGATCAGGGGTAAATAATTTTGATAATAGTTTTATGAATGACAGGTTACCATCAACTTCTTCACCTAATCTTCAGACCAGTACAGAAATTTTAGTATATTGCCAAAATGTTAACCACATGAGAAGCGCCGGTAAAATGAATGAAATTAACAAAAATATATTAAGTTCTACTTACTCTGTCATAATGGCTAATGAAACAAGTTGGGATGATAGTGTGAGAAGTGAAGAAGTTTTTGGTAACAATTATAACGTTTATAGAGACGACCGCAATTTTAAATGGTCTGGAGGTGGAGTATTAATAGCGATTTCGACCCAATTGAATTCAGAAATTATTATGGCTACTAAATTTAAAGAATTCGAACATGTATGGGTAAAAGCGCAAGTAGCAGACGAAACACATGTCTTTGCTTCGGTATACTTTCCTCCAAACAATGCTCATAAGGACACGTATGATAAGTTTTTTGGAAAAGCGGAAGAAATTTTGTCTAGTTTACCCCCTGAAGTAAAAGTCCATATATATGGGGACTTTAACCAACGCAATGTTGACTTTATTTCTGATATGAACAATGAAAGCATCTTACTTCCAGTCGTTGGGGAAAATGAAACACTCCATTTCATTTTTGACAAAATTGCAAATTTAGGACTCAATCAAATTAACCATGTGAAAAATCAACAAAATTGTTATTTAGACCTTTTATTAACAAATACTTATGAAGATTTCTGTGTGACTGAATCGTTAAGTCCCATATGGAGAAATGAAATGTTTCACACAGCAATAGAATATTCTCTATTCGTTCACATAAATGAAAGAACCAACGACTGCGAATTTGATGAAATCTTTGATTACAATTCAGCAAATTATGATAACATTAGAAATAGATTGAACATTGTCGATTGGCAAGCAATATTAAGAACTGCAGGAAATGTTGAATGTGCAGTTGACGTATTCTACAACGTGTTGTTTGAAATAATACTTGAAGAAGTGCCAAATAAAAGAAGAAGACGTCAGAGTCATGCAAAACATCCAGTTTGGTACAACAGGGAACTGAAAAATTTAAAAAATCGAAAGCAAAAAGCGCACAAATTTTATAAAAAATATAATAGTGAAGAAACTTTGGCATACTATTTACACACTTAAATTTTTTCGCCGAGATTCCAACAGCCGAGTAGTTCTGCAAATTATTTTGCTAAGATTCAGTAAAACAATTGCCGAGACTCAGCTAACAAATAACTATTTGCTGAAATATCAGCTAACAAACAAATATTTTGCAGAGATATTAGCAAAAGTAAATGCCGAGGTGATCGGCTCTGGAAGATTTTACCGAGCCAGATTAAGTGTGTAGACATTTGCGATCAGTTAAATTTGGCCGTGAATATGGCATTTGAGGAGTATAATTTAAAAACTGAACTTGAAATAAAATGTTGTCCTAGAAACTTCTTCAATTATGTGAAAACCAAATTAAAATCTGATAATTTTCCCTCAAAGATGCATTTGTACGATAGGATAGGTGAGAACTCGGATGATATATGCAATTTGTTTGCAAATTTCTTCCAAGAAATATATACTACGTTTTCAGAAGAAGACCGTGATCGTGAATATTTTGAATCATATCCAGAATTTTCAAGTGACATCAGCGTAAGTCAAATCAAGGTTCATGATATCTTAAAGGGTTTAAACAATTTAGATGCATCTAAAGGTCCTGGCCCTGACGGTGTTCCGCCAGTTTTTATGAAAACTTTAGCAATTGAACTTACTGCTCCCTTATTTTGGATTTTCAATATGTCACTGGAATCCGGAAACTTCCCTAAAATATGGAAAAACTAGTTTTTAGTGCCTATCTTTAAATCGGGTAAAAAATCCGACATACGTAATTATCGTGGTATAGCTATTATCTCTTGCATTCCAAAACTTTTCGAGGCGATTGTAAATGAAAAACTCTTTCTTCAATTTAAAAACAAAATAACTACTATGGGCTTCTTTAAAGGTCGAACAACTACGAATTTGCTCGAATTAATTAATTATTCCTTGAATGCAATGGATAACGGAAACCATGTAGAAGTGTTGTATACAGATTTCAGCAAAGCGTTTGATCGAAATGACATACCCTTCTTTTTAAACTTCAAAAAATGGGAATTCATTACGCACTCCTCAAGTGGCTTGAATCATATTTAACTGACCGTCATCAAATAGTAAAATACAAAGGAAAGATATCAAATCCCGTTAACGTCACTTCAGGAGTTCCTCAAGGCTCCCATTTAGGACCACTTTTATTTATTCTCTTCGTCAATGACATATCTTTCATTATTAAGAAATTGAAAGTTTTAATATATGCTGACGACATTAAACTTTTTTTGGAAATAAAAGATGCCAAAGACATCATCACATTCAAAGAGGAAATTCAAATATTCCATACTTGGTGTCAAAAAAGCCTGCTACAATTAAATATAAAAAAATGTAACTCCATTACCATTAGTAGAAAACAAAAGCTACCCGATATAACAGTCACTTTAGGAAACCAGATCGTAGAAAAGTGTGATAGAGTCAGGGATCTAGGTGTTATTTTGGACTCAAAACTTACTTTCACCGATCATTATAACACAATTATTAACAGAGCTAACAACATGCTTGGTTTCTTCATAAAACGTTTCTGCTATAACTTTCACGATCCGTATACGATTAAAACATTGTACATTGCTTATGTAAGATCGATATTAGAATATTGCAGCATAGTTTGGTCACCTTTTTCAATCACAAACGAAGAAAGAATAGAGTCCGTTCAAAAGCAGTTTCTATTGTATGCACTCCGCAAGTTAGGTTGGACTGTATTTCCTCTGCCATCTTACACAGCTCGGTGTATGCTCATAAATATCCAAACATTAAAAAAGCGTCGTGAATTTGCTATGATTTCTTTCGTAAACGATATCGTATCACATCGAATTGATTCAATAGAACTATTGTCAT